TTATCGTACACCTGCACTACTACGAGACCGTACGAGAACGGTGTCACGCCAAGCATGTTCAGTAGAGCGGCTTCAGAGGCTCCAACCTTCTCGCCTTTTTTGATCAAATGCACCTCACTGAGAATCTCAATGGTGCCTCTGGCAATCTTGGTGGGGATTTGCAGAGCCTGGAAAAACGAGGTCTTCTCGGGTCCCATGCCAGTGTTCTGAGGAGGCAGCTTCACATCGCAAGGAGCGATTGCACCGGCCTTAGCGGGAGCACCCTACAAGGACACATTAAAAGGCAATTCATATCCCATAATAAGTCAACTTATTTTTTCTTAAGAAGCAAATGATGAGGTAAAACCTACTCTTTTGTTTTCCAGCAGTTTAGCGCGAATCTCTCCGAGGTCTTCCTTGGTGAATACAAAACCAACGTTACGCACGATGTAGGGTAGCAGCTTCTCGAGAGCTGGATTCTTCGACAGATGTCCACGAATGGCTTTGCGAATCATGGTATTTTTCCCCATAAGGATGACCGCATGACCTTAAATCAATTTATTAAACCTCTGCAGAGAAATTGTTAAAGAAACACTGCAAATTCACCTCTCATGGCCTGACGGATTTCTTGCATCTGCTTCGATCCAACATTGTCAACCCCGACAAGGAAGCATTTTGGATATTCATCGAACAGCTCGATCAACTTTAGGAAATAGTTAGCCTTCCAGGTAGTTCTGTCTTCCCTAACCATCGTGGTGAATTAAGGATCGTGAGTTCACGTTTTAAAGACGAACTGAAAGCAACATCTTATGTGGTGAATAATACCAGAGCAGTTGAGGAAAGCTAGATAAAAATGTGATAGAAAAGAATATGGATTTCAAAATGCTAAGTACTGTGACTAGGGATTACTTACGAATTAATCAATCACAGCAAAACCGTTAGGAATGCTGAAAGAGTCTTAGAGGAGTTGTGATAGAGAAAAGAATCAAAACTAATATAATTCCCCGATTTCAACACTTAGTCTGATTTGTGTCTTGGTAATAAGAGCATGCGCATTTCGTATAATCGTTTGAAACTTTTTATTATACAATTTTATTTCATGAATTGTACAGATGTCCTTTTAAATAGGTAATTGATTGCTGTAATTGAATGAAATTAGTTCGGGTGCAGCGGACCCAAGATGAACATGCACAAAACTGCTCTTAACTTTTTGAAAGCTGAAAAGATTTTCGCTGATGTTGGGGGAGTAGAAACAACTTTCTGTTGTTAGAAGTCCTCAGATTTTTCTTGAATTTTGCTTGAGATAGATTAGTGGATTCTAATCTGTCAATACAAAACCCAGGAGCGTATTCTTATATGATTCCATAAAAAGGTTTTCTTTGAGCAATGTATAGAGTTAGAAAACAGAGATATCAAAGAAGTACACTAGAAGTCACACTCAAGATAAGACAACGATGTATCATGTGGAACGAGTAATTTAACAGAGAAGAGCGAGTGGAATTGAACTAGTGGCAATAAGATGTCATGAGGCGAAATATTCTGCAGTATACATCGATAAAGAGTGTGCTGTTCAACAGATTGTGCAAC